TATATATATCACTCGTCGTATTTTGATTATTACTATTATTCCGTGATAAATTTTTAAACGATTTTGCACAATTTATAAAATGATGGTCGCATTGTGTGTCGCAGTGATTTGAAATAAAAGAAAAATGAGATGCTCCTTCGATTTTCGATACGAGGTTGATGTTCGGCGACATTCTCTCGAATTATGGCTTTATCCATATTTTATAGCTGTACCCGGAAATGAGAGTCTTTTTATTTTTATAAAATTCTCCTCACTTATGCATGAGAGTGAAATGCAATATCGAGGACTTGCACGAACAACGGGTTTTCCTCCGTGAGGTCGATTTTTCAGAACTTTTTTCGTCCAACGACACGAAGGAACGTTGATGGGGATAAAATTACCGTGGATATATACTTTTAATCCCTTATTTCAATCGTCCTATTTTGTACCAACTCCCAACAGGCGAAGAGCCGTTCAGTTTGATAAACGCTTATCCGATCCACGACGTGTCGCAGTGGCGGGATCTCAATCCAAAGTTTATTTTGAGCTGCTACAGAGTGTACTTTTTCAACAAAAATCTCGACCAACTGAGGGACTTTTGGCCGACCGTCAAGGAGGTGAGAGCTACTGTATACCTATACCAGTGTTCAAATTGTACTCGATGTCCAACAAATATCAAGATACATGGGTTTTTTTTTTTTTTTTTTTTTTTGCCCACTCAAAGTGACTTGTAGCTGGGGTATAATAATGGTTATTTCACCGGATGAAATCGAAAAATATCGTCGAGCAATACAACATTACGCATCAAAACGTTAAACAAAAGTTCATGCGTATATTATTATGCGTAAGCTTATACAAAATTGCAAATATCGTATAAGCATGAATATAAGCGGGGAAGCAGATTCACGTTTCGCTCATATTTCGGGTTGTGTTGATTTGTCCGTTAACTCGTGCGTACTCGGGAGGAAAATACGCCGGTTTTAATTCATTTTATGATTGAAATTTTAAACGTAAATTCTTTAAACAATGAGAACATAAATAATTTTCTGTCGCAAGGGTTTTCATATATTTGTACATTTTTTTCTCACGTAGACACGTTTCCTACACGCATAAATTAAATCCGACTTATCTGTATCAACACGTCCACATCAGAACACATACTAGTCCATTGTCTATATCAATGAATTCATAGAGCTACAAGTCACATTGTTCACATTCACTATGCAGCCTCGATTAGTTTAACATCGTATACCGTGTAAAAAAACTTTACGCGTGTATACGTATAATATACATGTGTGTACGCGAAGGATCGAGATGATAAATCGTTTTAAACGTTTGGACCGACAGGTCCTGGAGCACTGCATGGCCTTCGACGAGGACAACGACGGCCTCATAGAAAACGGTGGCTTTCCCGACCAAACGTACGACTGTTGGGTGATGCGCGGCTCGAGGTATGAATATATCGTATCACCACCTCTCGCGTCTCTCGCGGCGCGTGCTCTATCTTTGTACCTATCGTATGGTTACCCTCCCCCTCATCCCCTTCCTTGAGGGGTCACCCCGATAAATGTCTAGGCATTATGAATCACTTTGGTGCTTGTTTTTCTACCCAACTACACGTTCAATTTTCACCCAAAGGCTTAACACGTTTACTCACACATCCGATGGAAGTACATGAATACATTTTTTTTTCATCCCTAGTTCTTCTTCTTTCATTGCAAACGTGTTTATGGGTACTAGACGAGAGAGTTACGCGCGTTCGCGTTGATAAATATAATATACGATTCGAAAAAAAAAGAAAAAAAAAAAAAAAAAGAGTTTGAATGCAAAACCGTGACGGTACGCGCATCCATGAGTTGGTTTGTGCTTCACAGCGCTTACTGCGGTGGCCTGTGGATCGCCGCGCTCCACTGCGCCGTGGTGATGGCAGAGTTGCTGTCCGAGCGGGAGGACGCCTCGAGGTATCGGGACATCCTCGAACGGGGCAAGGCCGCCTTCCAGGAGAAGCTCTGGAACGGTGAGTTGGCCCCGTCATTTGCACACAATAGGACCCGTGCCTCTATCGTGATATTACATTGTGTGCCTATACATTATATTATACTTATGCGCGCTCTTCCATGTGTTTTTTTTTTTTCCCGTGCATACATAGGCAAATATTACAACTTTGATTGCGGCAAGGACGACAGCAGAAAGAGCATCATGAGCGACCAACTCTGCGGACACTGGCTCTTGAGAGCCTGCGGCTTCACTTACGAGGTGAATTCTCGGCTATTTTTCCTTGTGACGTATACATACACCTATTCTTAATATATTGTGTCATATTATATTATATGCAGTCGTATACATTCGCCGACAAAGACAAAGACTCTCCTTCCTTCCTTGTCTCCGTATAGAAAACGTGCGTGTCTGATTTTTTTTTTTTTTTTTTTTTTTTCCAAATGGCACGATGGCACGCTGGTGGAGTCGGAGAGCAAAAAAAAAAATAACGTTGAGGACGACGTGTCCGCAGGTTTTTCCCGAAGATAGGGTGAAATCGTCGCTAGAGACGATCTTTCGGAACAACGTGATGAAGTACAAGGACGGCCAGCAGGGCGCAGTGAACGGGTTCTCGGCTTCGGGCACGATAGATTACACATGCGTACAGAGCGAGGAAATGTGGACCGGCGTGGCTTACGGGCTCGCAGCTCTACTCATACACGAGGTGAAACCAAATTGCTTTTATTCCTTATGCAGTAATTAAAAATTTTTTAAATCAAAAAAAAAAAAAAAAAAAGAAAAACAAAAACCCGTAAAATGTATACAGTTGATATATATATATAATATGTACTCCGGTCGATAGTGGGAGGGATGCTGATATTACTGGGGGGTGCCCGGCGCCCAGTGACACATACATTGTTCCCAACTGCGGGGTCTGCGGGTCGGAGATCTCGCGACATTTATTTCGAAAGTTTACGGCCCAGTGAACGGATCCTTGCGAAAAATGTTATTATGAACGGCGGCTACAGGGACCCCCTCGCTCCCTACACCGCCTCGTTGAATTATGTGGCGCGTCCGGCCTCCAGTTCATTTTTCGGGGACGGCTATTATTGAGTACCGCGTAATTCGATCCAAACGACCCGAGTGAAAAGTTAATGATGAAAAAAAAAAAAAAAAAAAAAAAAAAAAAAATACAAAAAAAAAGAATGGCCGTTGTCGAAGAGGCGCGACGAGCGCGCGTTTTATATGCTCCGATATTCGAGTGACTAGTGTGCCACAGCCATGCNTCGGGGACGGCTATTATTGAGTACCGCGTAATTCCAACTCACCAAACTTTGCATAAGAGCAACGACCTTAAAAAAAAAAAAAAAAAAAAAAAAAAAAAAAACGACCTAAGAACCATTGTATCGTTCCAATTGCAACGCGATGCGGTAAACAAATTGAGATAACGACAACCGCGCACGAGCTGAATATTTGCAAGGGACGTACGAAAATAATGCATGGCACGATCCTACATTGTATTATACGTATATAGTATAGCAGTCCTTTTCTATACGTAGTGGCCGTATTCTACGGCCGGTGGCGTCGAGTTCCCGGTCAAAGGAGCAATCCCGCATCGAATAGTAGCGCTTGATTGACAAAAGCAGTGTTATGTATACACACGTACACCTATATGTATATACATGTATAATAGTTGTACCGGTGTGTGTGCGCGTATGTTTCAGGGAATGGTCGAGGAAGCCTTTCGCACGGCCGAGGGCGTGTACCGGACGGTTTACGAGAAAATCGGTATGGGCTTCGAGACCCCGGAGGCGCTGTACGAGCACAAGGTTTATCGAGCCATTGGCTACATGAGGCCCCTGTCGATCTGGGCCATGCACCACGCCTGGACCATGAGGAAGAAGGAAGCCAACGAGTCGCCCGGTCGGCGGTCGTCCTTACCCCCGGGTGGCGATTTGTCGGACATCAAACTGGCTGTTTAGCAATAATATCGTTTTTGAAAATTATTCCCTTGCACCTGTTCCCATCGGGCGTGTGTACTGTTTTTTTTTTTTTTTTTTTCATCTTCGATCGCCGTGGCCTTACACTAACAGCATACCTACTTTACGCTGATGCAAATAGTTTATGTAGGGGGTTTTATGGGTGTGCTTTCAATTGATGATTTTTACGTTCGTTTGACGGGCTACACATATTATTCGAGGAGTCATCATTTAGGTGTTTATCGCGTGCTGGTCACGTATTTTTTGTACTAGTGGTTGGGTTATCCTTATTACTATACTCGACAGATCCTATATTATGTAATCCTGTTTTGTGTGTTAGGCTCATGAGTCACGAATTGTGAGCCGAGATATTTAACTGAAAAAAAAAAAAAATATATTGTTTGCTGCGGTAAGTGTGAAATCAAATTTTTTATTTGTTTTTTTTTTATTTTAAGATTTTCCAACGGAAGTATTTTTCATTAAAAAAAAAAAAAAAAGTAACATTATTTACTTATTTATTTTTTATTTTGTAGAATTTTTCCATACTGCACAAACCAACGCACACTTGAAAAAGCTTCGATCGACACTTGTACCGTCAAGGGAGTTTCACATTAAAATCAATCGATAATGGATATATGTGGTATTTGTTTTGCTTATGAATAAAAAAGAAGTATACATATAAATATATTATACGACTAATCCAACAAAATATGTTATGGCCCATCGATACACCTGTGCTTGGTAGTTCCTTTTTAACGTTTATCATGTCAACATGTTAATTAATGTACAGATGGTAAAAACAAAAACTTGTTGGATCATGTGACGTTTATTGACGTCCGAGTCAAGAGTCGGGCATTTTTTGCTCCTTTTCTAGAGTATAAAATACAATGATGTGTTGAAATACGCTCCGAACGAATTCGGCAAAAAACGCGTTAATTATCATACATGTCCACTTAAACTGTGATTTGATGTTCCAAATACAGACAGCCCTTCAAGCAGTATTTTATTATAATTATGATAGTAGTGTGCTGCATACGTTATTAATTATTTTACTCTTACAAAAGAACGATGTGCTACACATTTAAGCCCAAACTTTATATGCTCTTTCTCCGCATGTTTGTACACTTATTTTTTATCACGTGAATAAACCAACAACAAAATGACAAGACAAACTTTCGCATTATTTCTACATCCTCTCAATCCCACACCAATTATTGGCTGTGAAAAATACAATTTGTTGTCACAATAAGAGGTGTATACAGTCCAATACCATACATCCACCATCGAATAGTAATAAAAGCAGCAGTGTCAAAAATTATACTGATAACAATAATGGTGATGATGATGATGGTGATGATGATTATAATCACCGTTAAACAGAATTAATTTATTTCCGCAAACGGAGTTGTATGCAAATCCATGTAAAATAATTATTCGACCGTCATTCATGAACCACCGAAGCAAAAGCAATCGAGCCCACCGAGAGCCCTTTATCCCCCCTCCCCCCGCCCCGTTATCGATATAATATACATGTCTCGCGATGATATCGCGTCGTCACCCCCCTTATATTTTTACGCGCGAAAAGAGCAGAGCTCTGCGAAAATCGCATCAACGGACCCGTATACTTTTTTACGGCCGATCGCTCCCGATACAATTAAAAATCCGTCCCTCCGAGCATATATATATATATTATGTATACGTATGTATACACGTGGGTGTGCATATTAGTATTTCACGGTGCGATGGAACTCCCGTCCCATAGGCCGACGCGCCTCCGGCTGTTGATTTATTTCGCTCGCTCGACGTCATTGTCAATAATTGCCGACGCGTCAGTGTCTGGTTCGTATGATCTCTCTGGGGGCAGTCGCCGTTTCGTATATGTAACCGTCGAATCGTGCAGTGTGATAAAAACGCGTCTCGGCATTTGTATCGTTCATTACCCCCACGGTTGTCGTTGCGATTTTTTTCTTTTTCATTTTTTTATCAATGAGATCTTATCCATTGTATTCGTCTTCTCGGAGAATATATGTATTATCTAATGTGTTTTTGTGAGGCACCAAACTCGTTTCGCCGATTTTTGAATTCAATAACGTGTGTGAAAAGTTACCGGATGGCTCGGTGGATCGGCAGCCGAAACAATTCGCAAATTATTCAGTTTTAATTACAACATATTGGATTGTTTATTCGTAAAATTTGACAGGGTAACAATAAAAATTTACTCTCTAAATTTGAAATTGTGAAAGTTTCACCATTTGCGTGAGTGAACAAGATTTTTACTGGCAAAATCGTGAAAAATTCGAGTCGTTTATTTGCGCCTAGTCGATATAAATTTTAAATCTAAATGTTTGTCAGTGATCCAACGAACTATCTTGATCCAAATAAAGATAATTGTGTAACCTGTACACATTATTTCGAGTGATACCAACAACAGGTTTACCAACTAACTTAAAAGAGTGGAACGTCAACTTGGTTGAAATAGTAAATATTCACGAGTTCAATAAGTTGTAAGATACGACTTTGAAGTAGTGAAATCGACTGTTTCACTATTTTGAAAAAGTTGTGTACTTATCACTATTTCAAATTTAGAGAGTACATTTTGTGCAAAAAAAAAGAAAAATAGAGACCAACTCGTTGGGTTGTAAATTATTACGTGTACCAATGTCGGTTTACCTTTGAGTTACCTTAGATGATTCAATCGATAATTTGAAAAAAAATTGTTTAGTGCGTGTTGATGATCAACTACAGCGTTGATAAAAATAACAATCATCACTGAGAAATAAAACGATGTGGAATAATGCAAGTAAAATTAAAACAATTTCGACTCGTCGTTTGGTCGTCGTGCAACGTATAACATATAATATATACCCACACCGCCATCAAGCATCGCTACCAATTTCATAACACTTTTTCGATTTTCCATCAGCTCCTCGTATCCCCACGTACAACATGTATTAATAATACCTCGCGCTTCACGTGCCCGCAGGTAATATTAATATTTAATTCGACCCAAGTCCCGCATCATCGGTCGATCAATAATTCATTAGCTCGGAAAAATACGGGAATCGGCGCTGGTTGTGCGTACATGTATACGAAGAAAATTGGGGGAGGGGGTTGGAGGGCTGATTCGTCGCTAGGGAGAGGAAAGCGCGTCGAATTTCCTTTGGAAACCGAGACTTTATTTTTAAAGCTTCGACAGCAGCTCGCCATGAATAATTGTTGGCCGAAAGTATGCACATATGGATCGGTTAATTGACAGAAAATCGTTTATTCCGAGTTATCAGGGAAATGCCAGTCAAGGTATAAGCGAACCGATCAAAAAATGGCGTTATCTTTGATTGACAATATCATTGTTGAAATTTTCAAAATTATTTGCAAAAAAGTTTTTACCGTTACCTACATACTGCACCAAAAGAAGGAACTTTGTTTTTTGTTTTTTCCCCTCTGGGCGAGTAGCGTAATATGTTCCGCTTGCAAACTCGTATATCTTCATATTCTTGTTAAAAAAAGCAGATTATAAAAACCATACGTAGATGTACGTATATTTTTTTGGGACAACAAAGGGGGCGTGCGACGCAATATCGAAAAGGGGAGGAGGGAGATCCAATAACGTAGGAGACGAGCATTAGGTTTATGAGTATCCGAGAAAGTAACAAACGAATGGAAGTGTATGGGGGAGGGGGCGTCAGAGCAAATAGCGGACCGGTGGTCGAGATAGGACTCCCTTGGCCAGAAGTTATTAGCCATTACGGACTCGGTCGAGCGATAAACACCGGCCGGAGAAAGTTCGGCCTTCCAATGGAATCTTTCTCTCTCTCTCTCTCTTTTTTTTTTTTTTTTTTTTTTTTTACTTTTTACNGCCATTGGACAAGACTGCAAAAGTCACGTTGATGTACTCAACAGGCATTTCGACACTATAGGTAGAGTCTCTCAAAGTTTACGAAAGGTTTCAAAGTCATCCAAGTCTTTCTTCTAAAGTCATTCAAAGAACAATGACCTTTTTTTTTTTTTTTTTTTTACTTTTTACTCGGAAGTAATACAATGTAAGTGAATTTAGTGCGAGGCTACGTAGAAATCTCGTGTAACCATAGTATGTGTGTACGGATATTTCGAAAAACGTTTTTCAACTACGCTTCGTTCGAACATTTTTTTGCAACATGGAATCTCCAGTGAAGAATTTTTTAGGAAAAAAATTTTCTGGTACCCGTAGCTCGTGAAACAGTAAAATTGACAGGAGATGCAAAAAAAGATCCATTAGGAAGCCCATTCAGAGAGCGAAAACGGATCCTGGCTCTCACGTCAAAAAAAAAATTTCCGTTATGCCACGCTCGCTTGAAAAATGGAATTTAAAAAAAAATTAATCAAGCACAATTACATTTGGAACAGAAGAAAGGTCCTCTCAAACTGCATCACTCGTTTTGCGTCTGACAAACATTTAATTTAATCGAGTAACAATAATTTTGACCGATTTTTCGTTTGTTTTTGGCACAAAGCTTCCTCAAACAACTTGATAACTTGTTTTAAACTCTCCTACGCGTTTTATGAAAAAAGCACCTAACTTTACACGCTAACACAGCACCCGAACGATAAAACGAACAAAAGGAAGAAAAAAAAAAAAAAAAACCCCTAGTCGCGAGAAAAATCACTCGAGACCGACATACACACTCGAGCCCCACGTTTTTCCACAGACGAAGACCACGGGCCTATTAGCCGAGGCTTTTGTTCATCAGCCTCCCTATATACGAGGAGCACAAGCGGCCGAGTCCCCTTGGAAGTATATTTCCCCAGGATGGGAAGAAAAGGGGGTTGTGGGGCGAGAGGGAAAGAAAGAGATCCGGTGCACGGCCCATTACTTCCATTGATCTGCCGGCACCGTACATCAAGGATCCCTCGAGTACGGCAAGTACGTACGGAAACCTTCTCGGGCGTCGAAAGGCTGGAAAAGAAAGCAGCAGCCACCTGAGAGGCTCTCCTCCACTCGGAACTTTTCCACCCTCGCTCGGAACTTCCCGATGATACTCGGAGCTCGCGTTTTTGTAGCTTCGTCCTCCCACGCGTGGCTATTGCACTCGTCCCAAACGACCCCCGGGGTCTGTCGGATGATTCCAATGGAGCTTCTCGAATGTGATGATAAATCATATCCGTCGGTGTTTTTTGCCCTCCGAGCCGACAACGCGGCCCTCCAAAAGTCACCCTCTTCACCCCCCCCCCCCATCTTTGTCAAACTCTGTAAAATGTGTACGGTATATAGGCATGTGGCAGATATTCCACAGTGGACCGCGCGATTTGTCAGTTTACACCTTCGGTGCGAGGGTAATGTATTAACGATCCACAACGAGCACTACCAACGTTCGAGGGAAAAAATCAATTACCAACGTCAGTACAAATTGAACATATAAGTCAGGGTTGCTCAGGA